AGACTGCTCAAGAGGCAACGGAAGAAAGCTGCAAAGAAATGACTGAACGTTTAGTTGGTACTGGCGGAGCTATAACAATTGATTCTAAAGGAGAAATTGGCATATATTGGACTTCGAAACGCATGGCATGGGCATATACAAAGGGGAAAGATATAGGTTTGGAATTAATCATAATGAAGAATTCACGGAGCAATTGTAAATTTGTGAATTGTTTTTTTTTTTTTTTAATTTTGTATAAAAAGAAAATTTTTGTAAAAAAGGAAATTTATCGAAAATTTTTGTAAAAAAAAGAAAATTTGAGGAAATTTGTATAAAAAGAAAATCTAAAAAAATATCTAAAATCTATAAAAAGAAAATTTTTAATAAATAGAATATTTGTCACAAAATTTATATAAAAAGAAATGTCATCGAATTTTTTTATATAGGTCTGTAAAATAAAATAATCTAAAATTTCATTATTAAAATTTTTCGTTCTACATATTTACAACTAGAATATAAATAAAAAACAAGTACTTTTTCCCTCTGATAAACAACTACCCTTAAAATGCAACACTGCATGAACCAAATACAACCCAATATTCACAGCTGTTTAACAACAACAATATTATAACAACCATATTACATAAAACTGTCAAAAGGCAGGAAAAAATTTTGCACGATTCAGGAGGGACTACGAGAAATCCTGGAAAATTGTACACAATGGCAGCCTAATCAGGAATTTTGGTTTAAAATTGGTTACACAAGTTGCTGCTAAAAATGGGTGAGCAATATAAAACAAAAAACAAGCAAAACTAAATTATAAAAATCTCTGTTATTTAAGGTATGACAGCTGCTGCTGCTTCTAATGTTGGGGCAATGCGTTTAGCCAGTTCTGCTGCTGATAGCAAAAGACAGACAAACGTAAGTTAGTTATGAGATGTAATAGAAAATTTCATAATTTATGATCAATTTTGCTTTTCAAGCCACTATCCGTAAACCCAATGAGGCTTCTCGTGCCAGTCTTTCGGATTTCGGTCGTTATGTTGCCGAATGTATGCCCAAGTATGTGCAAAAAGTACAACTGACCGCTGGCGATGAATTGGAAGTGCTTATCGCTCCCGAAGGTGTTGTGCCTGTATTGCATTCTTGAAGGATCATCATCAGGCTCAATTCAGCAATTTGGTCGATATTGCCGGTATGGATGTGCCTTCACGTAAATACCGTTTCGAGGTTATCTATAACATCTTTCGTTGCGTTACAATTCTCGCATTCGTGTCAAAACCTACACCGATTGAATTGACTCCCTTGGACTCTTGCAATGAGGTCTATAAGGCTGCCAACTGGTACGAACGTGAAATCTATGATATGTATGGTGTGTTCTTTGCCAATCATCCCGATTTACGTCGTATTCTCACCGATTACGGTTTCGAAGGTCATCCCCAACGTCGTGATTTTCCTTGTCCGGTTATGTTGAAGTAAGTTAAAGGATTTGTTTTAACAAATATTTTTTATTTTATTAATAAATTTGTTGTTTTATTTGCAGTTACGTTATGATGACGAGAAAAACGTGTTGTTTGTGAACCTTTGGAATTGCTCAAGAATTTAGAAATTCGATTTGTCTGCCCCCCTGGGAACAATTCCCCCATTTCCGTAATGCTAACCCTCCCGCCAGAAATTGTTGAAGGCGAAAAGAAGAAGTAAAGAGCAGTTTTACATAAACAACTATTCTGCTAATACAACTAATATTAGTTCAAATGTTGAAAATATTATAAATATATAAATGGCTAGAAAATGGATATAATCGGCCACAATTAAGAAACTAATATTTTTTTATTTAAAACAAATCATAAAAAGTGAAATTTTCCGTAAAAAAAGTGTTTGAAAATTTTCTATAAAAACAAAAAAATTTTGAAATTTTTCTGTAAAAATAGAGAATATTTTATAAAACAATAATTTTTTAAAATATTCTATAAAGGAATTTTCCCATAAAAAAGATAGTCCAAAATGTTCTATAAAAAGAGAAATTTTCAAATATTACTAAATAGTACTATGTATAGATTTTCTGCGAATTTTCAGACATGAATGGGTACATATTAGAAAAGCTGGAGGTAGATACAGCAAAGCAATTCCTTAACTATATTTTAAAAAAATGAAGTAAAGAACTCCCCGAATTGTTCGGACGGCTAGAAAGTACTGCACTTGCAATTTGAGGTTATGTCGAATTAGAAAAAAGTCCTACAATTTGCCGGCCGCCCAATAGTACTACACTCACTTTCCACAGCAGGTTTTAACACCGGAGACAGAGTCTTTAGTGCAACAAGTGGTTTATATTACAATAACATCTTAGATTGCTTGGGGAAGTGCAGCAAGTCGTGGGAAACTTATGTATAATACAATAAAAATAACAAGTAAATAAGGCTCACCTTGTAGTCTGCAAGCTGCCATTTTGGTCTGAAATTTAACAATTTGTTCACACCAACTTTATAATAAATTGCACTTTTTCTTTTTATAAACATATTGATTGACTTTACCTAAATTGCATTTTTCATAAATAACTTTTTTATTTGCAAATGATTTAAAGGAATTTGCTTTTTTACATTAATTTTATTAACCTTCATTAACTTCTTTTGCACTTTACTTTTTTGACTTTTACAACTTTTTTCTTTATTTAAATATTTAAAACACTTAACATTTTTACTTTTATTAAACGCTAATAACATTTTAACACAAACAATTAACTTTTTAAATTTTTATAATTTTTCACTTAAGCTGCGCGTACACGAAAAGAAACTAAAGTAGAATGAGAAAAATTACGCAAAAAAAGCGCGTACGTACTTTCTGTCAATAAAGTTAAAGAGAAATATGACGTTATAAAAAGAGTTTAATGAGAGTTGGCTAACATAGTGAATATTTGTTGTTGTGAGAATTGTAATAGATTAAGGAAACTTTGAAACGAAAAAGAAACGGATGTATAAGGAATGTAATAGATTAAAGAAACTTGTTTAAATAGGAAATAAGGGAAATAACTACATATTGGAAAAGTAAACATGACTAAAGAGGAAATCGGACCGAAATTTAATATGAAGAGGCAATAAATAAAAATGATTTTTTTTTAACGAGAAATTTTCTAACATTTTCATTCAAAAAATAAATTTTTTATAATTTTCTGTAAAAAGACACATTTTTGAAAATTTTTCATTTTTGTAAATTTTCTATTAAAAGAGAGATTTATGTAAATTTCTATAAAAATTGGATTTTTGTAACTTTTCTATAAAAAGAAAAACTTTCGAAAAAAATTTTCATTAAAGAAGACATATTTTTAAAACATTTTACAAATAAAGAGACATGTTCGAAAATTTTCTACAAAAAAGAGAAATTTTCGAAAATTTTCTATTTAAGCGAAATTTTTGAAAAATGTTTTCTATAAAAAGAGAAATTTTCCAAAAATGCTTTCTATAAAAAGAGACATTTTTTGAAAATTTCTATATAAAAGAGAGATTTTTAAAATTTCTATATAAAAGAGAAATTTTTGGAAATATTTTATATAAAAATAGAGCTTTTTGAAAATTTTGTACAAAAAAGAAAGATTGTTGAAAAAATTTCTTTAATAAAATATAGATTGTTGAAAATTTTCTATAATAAAAATAAGATTTTAAAAAATTTTCCATATAAAAAGACATTTTCAAAAATAATTCTATAAAAAAGGAGAAATTTTCGAAAATTTTTTTATAAAAAGAGAAATTTTTGAAAATATTGTAAATAATATACAGGCCTGTCACAGAATTTCATTCCGATCGAAAGTGGAATTATTTCCGTATTTTTGCTTCTTCTAAAAAAGAAAACGAAAAATTCTTTCGGAATGAAACCACTTTCAGTTTTTGAAGTGGAATTGATATTGTATGTAATTAACGCTTTTCTTAGTTTTAATAATAAGAACCTTTACTAAAAACATGGTTCTTGTTTTGATTAGCTAAACAAGAACAATTTTAAATGAAATCTATATAATTTTATTCATTTTTTGTCAATTTACGAAATAATTCGGAATTTGGAGAAGCTAAAACAAAAATGATCGGAATAATAATACGGAATTGAAACCATTTCGATCGGAATGTGTGACAGACCTGATAATTTGTTATTTAACAATATTCCAAAGGTCTGAAGCGGTTTCAAATTTATACATATAATAATTTTTTCTATACAAAAGATAAGTTTTCGAAAATCACATTCATTTTCGTGACCCCTTTTCTCTTTAATAATGTTTATTTTTCATTTATTCCTCTTATTTCCTTGCTTAGACATTCCACTTTAATATATTACATTCAAAACACATTCGTTTCTCTTCGTTTTCAAATTTTCCTCAATCGATTACAATTCGCACAACAACAATCTTCACTATGTTAGCCAACTCTCATTACTCTTTTTAACATCATCTTTCTCTTTTAACTTTATTGACAGAATGAAACTTACGCGGTTTTTGCCTAATTTTTCACATTCTACTTTAGTTTTTATTCGTGTACGCGCAGCTTAAGTGAAAAATTGTGAAAATTTTTAAGTTTCCTTAAAAAGTTAATTGTTTGTGTTAAAATGTTATTAGCGTTTAATAAAAGTGAAAATGTTAAGTGTTTCAAATATTTAAATAAAGAAAAAGTTATATAAGTCAAAAAAGTAAAGTGCAAAAGAAGTTTGAAATTAATGTAAAAAAATGAAAATTTCCTTTAAATCATTTGCAAATAAAAAGTTATTTATGAAAAAAAGCCAATTAGGTAAAGTCAATCAATATGTTTATAAAAAAGAAAAAGTGAAATGATTATAAAGTTCATCAAAAAAAGTGTTAAATTTCAGGTCAAGATGGCAGCTTGCAGACTACAAGGTGAGCCTCTTTTACTTGTTATCGTTTTTTTGTATTGTAAGTGGGAACAACAGCAGGATTCCTTAAATAAACTTAAGATGTTTTTGTAATAAAAACCACTTGTTGAAATAAAAGACTTTGTCTCCGCGCGTCATACTTGCAGTAGAAAGTGTGTGTTGTACTATTGGCCGGTCGGCAAATTGTTAAATGTAGGACTTTGTCTTATTCGACATAACCTTAAATTACAATTGTAGTACTTTAAATCCGGCCGGCGGAGAGTAGTTTGCTTAAGTTGGTGGCATAAATTGTTAATATGCTCATACCATGTACATACATATGTATGTAGGTATGTTTGTTTATTTTCGTGTGTTTGTTAAGTGTTTTTTGTTTGTTTTTCATATTCTTATTGGACATTGCTACAGGTGTTTAGTTTTGTGTTTTGTTTACGTTTATTGTCAATGTTTCCATTATTTATATTGGAAATTCTTCGGTGATTTCTTTTTATTTGCAGCTTAATTTTAAATTTATCTTTTTAAAACTTTTTATCCTTTTTCACCTCAAAAATCGAATCATCTAATGGGAAAATAGAGTACCAACACTTTGCATTCCGACTTACATACATTTAAATTCTTCGTTTACTTAGTGTAAATCTGTTTCTGAACTATTCTCAAAATTTTCTGTTCTATTTCTATTTCTGCTTTCTGAAAAAGTATTCCTTTCATGCCAGTAAACTGCATCTAAAGAATGTTTATATTTTTCAAATATTGTTATGTTTTACTATCGAGTATTCTTATTGTGCTTAACGGACATACAACTGGACAAACATTGCTGTGGGTATTTTGGGAAGGTCATCAAATTACTTAACGTACAGACATACATATAGATATAGATAGATAGATAGATAGATAGCTAGATAGATAGATAGATATATAGATAGATAGATAGAGATAGATAGATAGTCGATAGATAGTAGATAGATCGAT